TTTCTTGCTGCTTGCTTTTTTCCTGAAGGAATGACACTTATTTCGGCAAAGACGATGTCATGATCAGATACCCCTGGAAGTGTTTCCACCCTTGTAAAACTATTAGGATCATTTGTTATTAGCAAGTCAAGTGTTTTTGTCTGCCTTGTTGGTTCTTCAACAAACTGTGAAAGACCATTATCATCCAGTATTTCTCCGAATCTTTGATGTATTCCAACATGGTGTGTGTTTTCTTTTGAACAATTTGCTTTCCAGTCCCATCCAGGAATGTTGAAATCGCCAGCTGAAACAATGAAGCAGTTCTTTATACTTGCTGTTTGGTCGATGCTTCATTTGTTTTCAAATAGCCATGTTCATTTGCTGTTTTTGGGTAGTAAAACGATGATATATACATATTTATCTAATCACTAACATGTACATGTATACTATGGAAATATTCATGTCAATTTACCATGACTGAGGGGATAAGCCAAATAAACTGCATGGAAATAAGATGTGTCAATACTAATATATCTGCATACCAAATATCATTGACTTACCGCTAATGGTTCCCCTTGAACTGACCTAATCACAAACTAATACGTGTTAACTAAGCAAAAGTGCCAATGTAATTAAACTATGCATGAGGAGGCGGGGCCAAATAATATCTATTGGAATGAGATGTGCCAATGCTAATACAACTGCATGTTAAATATCACTGATGTACTACTAGTGGTTAACCATAAAACAGACCTAATCACAACTAATACAAAAAACCAGCCATTCACTTAAAAAAGAACCCGCTTTAATAAATAAATCAAAGCTATTTGCATTACGGTGTAAATTCAAGTACAGACTAATATGAAGTTAAAATATGTGTCGGTTTGAATAAAGTGAGGAGCTTGAATATTTATGAATTATCAAATAAGTGAGGAGCTTGAATATTTATAAATTATCAAATAAGTGTTAATTTTAAGAATATTCTACCTCTTTGTTTGATGATGGCTTATATTGCTTTGCATTTCGAAATGCGCGCGTGGTTCACAAAATGAGCACCTGTAAATTTCTATCACTGGTTAAGCTAGGTCATATTTTGGCAAAGATATAAGTTGTTAAATTCTAAGCTTACAAAATAATGGCTGAAATTTCCTTATGTAAAGCTATATTTTTAAATAGTTGATTTTCCCAATTTTTATTCTTTGATCGTTCCTCATGTAGATTAATCCGGCAGTTTAATCTGTTACCATCATCCCATTACACTCTTAAAGTGTCTGTCTTCATTCAGCAAAACTAATGTAGTTCTGTTATTATCGAAATTGATTGACATACATTTGGTATTAATTCTTCCTTTGAATTTTTCACATATTGGTCATCTTGTGACTTTTAAACAAATGTATTTACTATCGTAGAAAGTCGTAGAGTCACTTAAAATAATAATACTCTTTGGTATGGTTTTTTCAGCAAGTTGATGAAAGTTTATATGCTATATTCATCATAATATTTGATTTTTTTTAAGTATAAAAATATTATAAATAGTTTTACTTCGTCCAGGTTTTGACTATCTCTAAAATATGTTCATGTTCGTCCTGATTATTCGTGAATTATCAGCCACTGAACGTTTAGCAAACATCTATCATCAAAGTGTGTGTTCATTTAGTTCAGTACAGCCTAGTCTGCAGTACTTCTGTGTTGACTTGAATTATCATTGATATGGTTATAACTATAAATTATCTGTTAACAAACCTTTGAATTTTTCGAAATACTAAAGATCTTCTACCCCAGAAATTATCATAGATTACCTTAGCTGTATTTGGCAAAAAATTTCGGAACTTTTGGTCCTCAATGCCCTTCAACTTCGCACTTCATTTGGCGTGTTTACCTTTTTTTGTTCGAGCGTCACTGATGAGTCTTTTGTCCGGTGTACCAAATTTTAATCCTGATATCTATTATGAGTTTATTTACTACACATATTTCACATTCCAGACATTTAACGATTTTTATTACTATAGTTTGAACTCACATGTTCAGAAGGCAATGCTCTCAGTATACATTTCTGATTGGTAAGATAAGATGATTAATGTAACACTAGGCATGCCTTATCAGTGATACTGATATTTATGTTATGTATTATTTGTCAGGATATGAAATCTCAACTTTAACTTTTCTAAACAAAAATAAAATATCTAATAAAGAATTTTTAATGAAAGTTATAACCTAAAAAGAGTGCCAAGAGATTTTTTTCAATCAGCTGGTCATTTTATTCGAGTTATCGGGTAAAAAAGAGACTGCGTCGGTCCATGGCAGTATTATATTGATAATATTTCCATGAACGGACAAACAAAGACGTGCATTATGTTGTGTGGGATCTCTTAAAACGCTTAGAAAATAATAGTATTAGTTAAAGGGGCATTAGCTACGAGATGAATGTGAAATAATGAAATAATAATACGCTTTTAGCAGCCAGTTTGGTTCAATTTTGACAAAATAAGCTTAGAAACATCATTATTTACTTGCAAGTGAATAATTCGACCTCATTGAAACCGTATTTACGTGAACTCCAATTTAACTTCTTAGCTGGAGATGGGTTACGCATGCACTAGGCGTGTTTAGCTATTAAAAGGAAAAGAATGTCGACATTGAAAATGAAACTAGGTTCAACAATTTCGTAGACTAATTCGATCCACAAAAATTTATTCTTATACAGATAAAAACGATGATTAACATATTTGTTTAACCTATGATATGAAATCAAACAGACCTACACAAATCCAATTGAACGTTTTCGCTATCTATTTATATCTATATTTATCTTTACATTGGGTTATATGACCGTCGGCAGTCTTCGGAGGTCGCTTCGATGGTTAATTAGATGGCTTCTAGACTGAAATACACACGAAATGCTGATAGATACATACTATCGAGTCCGTGCATTGTAAATTGTTCATTTAAGACTTGTTATAATTTGGATATACGTTTTAGTATGATATAAATCCAATATGAGAATTTGAGTCGAATATGTGAACATGAATTTGACAGCTAATGCCACTTTTATAATGCCATTCCATATTCCTAAACAGAAAAGGAAAATGCCATTTCATTATCATAACTTAAAAGGATATATTTATAGAATATGATTTATTTTTAAACAAAATATGCAACCATGACAGATTTTAAAAGGTTTTCTTTGCCACATGGCATGTCATCTAGAAAATGATTTAAATATTAAAACAAAATAAAACAAAATGTAAAAAACAAAAAAGAAAGATTTTGCAAAGCCAAATTTCAACTTATAAACAGACCATGCTTTCAAAGACTAACATATTAATCTTTATAACGGATTAAGATTATAAACAGCAGAAGCAGTGACCATGTGCAAGGTACACATATAAGTGTTTTTAGGCAACAGAACAATAATATTGTTAATAACTCACTTTGAAGTCTGGATTAAATTTTTTTTTAAAGAGACGGAAGATACCAAAAGGACATTCAAAATTCATAAGTCAAGAGAAACTGTCAACGCCATGACAAAAAAAGAAAGCAATCCGGCTTCCTCAACCAATAATGGCCGCCACGAAATAGCCAACCTAGTGGCGCTACTTACATAACAGACATACTAATAACGTATTTGGAATGGGCGATGGAACAGTTGAGTTTTTTCACTTGATTTTTTTTCTGGTCAAAGGGAGATAATCATGTTAGAATCATATCCAGTTGCCCTTGCAAATGCATTACATATATGCAAGGTATGATATCGAAAGTCAAGACGACTCTATCAAGTTGTGAATCCAGTCAAGATTTACTTAATTAAGGTGGCTCGGGTGTCTTCTTCCATCTTGGATTTTGAAGTAGCAGATAACGTTGGTCTAGATATTTGATGAAATGTGCATATTTTGAGAGTAGTATATAATTTATGTAAAAGACTTTTGATGTCAATATAGAGCATTGTGTGTTTTATCATAATTACAGCTGTAACTTCTCAAAAACACCTTTTTTGTGTTTGATTAGATTTTTTTCAACTTTGCCAAATAATTGGAGATAACTCAGATAAAGTAATTTTTATAATAGAAAGTGTTGTGAATTTACCTATTTTGATATGTAGCAAGAAAACAAGTTCGGTGACCCCATTTTTTCTTTTTCTTATATGAAAGCATGTTATAACAGCTATCTTCTCACATTTTATCTTAAAGTTCTATCAAGTAGTTTTCTTTTTATCACACAAAATTTGATTTTCCATGCATAATCTATACAAAATCTGACAATTTTGCACGACCTGTAGCGTGAAAAAAAGTCCGGTGGCCCATACTTTTTATTATATTTTTGAAAAAAGCATGATAACAACTTCATTTTGACAAATTATCAAAAAATTCTATCAATTTTAATTAAGACGCCCCAGCCACCTTAATTCAATATCTAATATTTTCTATTATTATAGTGATGAAAGTGACGATTTTTCTATTTTCAAAAACATTAGTCCCGAATAGATTTTGAATTTAAAATGTACATAGAAAAGGCATGAAACCGGAAATTATGAATGCAAGCAATTATTTCGAAAGCAGGTGATGTTAATTTCATAAAAAGAAAATTCCACGGGAAACTGTGATACTGGGAAAATGTATCCAACGGTATCTAATCCTACAGGAACAGATGCCTAAATGGAAAGCAATTCCCGTTATATACACGTTGTACCTTCAGAGTGACATATATATAAAATATGAAGAGAAAGATATATGTATATATACATGTGTTTGATTTTATCTTCATGTGAATAAAAGTAACAGTATTAAAAATGTCAACAAATACATTTCAAGTACTAGAAGCAAGCAATTTAAAAAGTAAAGAATTCTTGTAAAATGTTTTGTTAACATTGAAGATATTGGCCGACTTCCAAATTTAATATAAAAAACACTTAACACTAGATCAATTATCAATTTTAAAATTACTTGTTAAATATGAAAGAAATTTAAACCTTTTTATCAACATCTATATATTTTGTCTCAAATATACTTCGTGTTTAAATTAAAGGAACAAGATGGCTGAATCAACTTACACATGCCAAGCTCAAGATGTTATACGATGCATGCACTGCGATCGGGCAGAGGCGGAGTATAGGTGTGTTCCATGTGGGGATCGCATGTGCCAAAATTGCAGAAGATCGCACAATCAAGATGCTTACTTTGCCAGCCATGAAATTGTTTTGATTCGTGAAAGTTCGTCCTTGGATCAAAAATGTCAACATCATCCTTCATTCCGTATTGAAAATGGATGTGATGATTGTAAAGTTCCAATTTGTGCAGAGTGTAAAATCAAAACACACAGAAATCACAAATATATTAGCAATGATGAACTTTTTGAGGAAACAAAGAAATTTATACTAAAAAACGTAAAGAAAATGAAAGAAAAGGAAAGGAAGGTTGAATCTTTTCTTACTAATACAAATCAAGACCAATCAAAGATATATGATGATGTGAGAAAAGCTATGAAAAAACAAGTGGAACTGTGCAAAAAGAATGCCGATGCCCTTTTGCAAGAGAATTTGAAAAAACTCAACGAAATGGAAAAGACCGATGCATCTCAAGTAGAAGAGTATGATAAAATGTTAAAAGAGAAATTGAATGAGTTGAAAGTAAACATTGAGACTTCCGAAGTAGCATTAGAGAAAAGTACTCCATTGGATCTTATATTGTTCTGCAAGTATGGTTTACAAATTTCAGACACTAAAATTAAAGACACTTTCAACTTCACCAATCCTTCATTTAAGGAGGGTGACGTTACACTTACTGAGAAGATGTTTGGAACTTTAACCCCCTCGAAAGTTGAATGGAAACCATTTAATAAAGGACGCAAATGTCAAACGACAACATTAATGCAAAGACCTAAAACAGCACCAGTAAAACAACGCAAAAAAGAAAATCTTGAAGACAGTTCTTTCTTGCGACAATCACTTGACATTGCTACAACTCCAAGGTCACAGAAAGGTTTTAAGGAATTACCTGGCTGTATTGCAGAGTTTGACAGCCCATATTCCGTTATTTCACATATCCTACTGTGGACAAGATCAAGTTTATGTAAGTGGTAATGGTAAGAATATCACACTGCTTGATATTAGAGGAAAGAAACTTAAAACAATCAACACCTCCCGGGAAGTGCTAGGTTTTACAGTAGCTTATAATCAGATCCTAATTTATTCAGACGGAAACGCTGGAGTTGTAGAAGTTGCGATTGACAAATCAAGGAAAACTATATTCACATATCCTGGGGCGGACCCATGGGACATTTGCTGTTCGAAATCTGGTAATTTTCTTGTATGTCTAATTCCGTATTCAAGTCTTGATACAACGGAGGACAAATGTGGACTAGTTGTAGAGTTTGATAGAACTGGTACTATAAAAAGAGAGATAAACTATGATAGACAAAAAAATCCAATTTATCGCGAACCAAAGTTTGTTTGCGAAAATACAAATAAAGACGTTTGTGTTTCAGACTGTTCTGTACGAAAAGTGATAGTTGTTAATGCATTCGGTATAGTTCGCTTCAGGTATGGAGGTCAATTAGATTTGAAGACCTGTTCACCGTTCAGTCCACGTGGTATTGATACAGACTGTCGAGGAAATATTCTCGTTGCCGACAAAGACAATAACTTCATCCACCTTTTAAATCAAGAAGGACATTTTATAGCATACATTTTGACAGTGGTTGATGGAATAACGAAACCGTGGTCAATTTGTGTCGACCCTGACGACAGAATATGGGTGGCAGAGGAAAATGATACTCCACAAGAAGTTCGAACGAAAGCAAAAGTCAAAGTGTTCAATGATCTGAGACTTTAATGCATAATAAATTTAAGGTTATCTTTTTGACCTGAGAATCAGATAAAACGTTTTTCTACAACTAGAGAACATGCTATTTTCAATTATGAAGACTGTTAAAATATAGTTTGAAAACATGCAAATAGTCAGTTTTGTTCTCCAAAAAAACATGCATATGACAAAGAAAACAATTATAGTATCATGAACTCCCAACGGAGTGAGCCCAAGTGCGTCGACAAGGTAAATAAATTCCAAAGTTTCTGTAAACCTGCATCATCATGCTTGTTAAGATACACATTTAAAAATCAATATCAATAAATTAGAAGTAGAATACTAGTGTATAAGTCAATCTGTCGAGATGAATCGTGACAATCAATTAATTCGTGGTGGCAACAGGTGGCAACTGAACCACTTGTCCAGTGACGGTTTAAGTCCATTGTCTTTTTCTTACATCATAACCCTTTGAAGCAATTTTTGGTTACGACTTCTAATGATACAACCATACAGAGAACATACTATGGCATATAGTACCAATACAGAATTACTGTATGTTAATTTTCATAAAATGAAAACTGAAATCCTCATGTTTGTAAGATTGATCTTTTTTTAGTTAAAACGCTTGTTATATAAAATTCAATTGTAATACATGAATTTGATCCAAGATCGTTGTAATTTGATAATATAACAGGATAAAATACCGATCTTATCAGTCTCAAAGTATTAAAATATTTCAAGGTATAATTATCCTGGTATCCTGGTATAATATTACAATGAATTTAAATACTTGTGTTTATTGCGCAGTACAGTATAGTATATGAATTGTGTAGCAATGTAAACTCTGTCTACATATAATTATAAAGCTCTAGTAAACATAGTTGTCATTACGGCAAAAATATAAATGTATATAATTTTGAGCAATATTGCATTATTTTTAAACTAAAATGTAACAAAACATATTTATGTTAACAGACAGTGATAATATAAGAATACAACCTTAAAATGTGAAAAACTATATTTTATTATGTATACAAATGTGTGCATATACGAAACGTCTTGTATCGATGTCAGGCCTCTTAATAAATTTAAACCGAAATATATCAGTGTCTGTGTGTGGTATCATGCGCGAGAGTCATGTCAAACTGCTGATTAAAAACTGGGCCAATACTCTGGCTATTTATTGAAGGTAGGACCCTGTGACATTTTAAATATTGTTTGTATTTCCGAGAGGAAATTTTATTTCATATATACATTGTAGTATTCGTTCCTATGAAGGGAGGAAGGAAACTTGCATTCTGCATAGCTAACATGCCATTGAAACATACTTTTTCAAATGTGCAAAAATCGATTTTAATGACACAGCAAGTTTTGAATCTCGACTCAAAACATCTAGTATATTCTTCTTATTTCAATCAAACCCTTAGTTACATTTGTTAGTCGCAAGTTAAAAAGAGTTGTGACTTGATTGTACAATTAATTTGGTTTAATGCAAATATCGCATTCATATTTACGTGGTTCTTATTATCTTTTTTTTTGTGCGTCTATGATTATATTTGTGCTCTTGTGTTTAAGTTGTTTTATACTACATGCTTTTAAAACCAGACTTTTTGCTGGCTATCAAATGAAGATTCAAGTCGGTATAAAGTTTAACAATTTAATAAACGATCTTACAAGAATATAAAAGATGTAACAATGTTGAGTCCGGTGTTTACTGTTGGAGAAGCTTTCAAAAACTGAATATGAATTATTAGGAAGCATATACACGGCTGTCATTCGGTATATCGAGAAAAAAGATCGTGAAATAATAACGGTGGCAAAGTATTGCGATTGGATCGTGAACGATCTGGTATAGGATCGTGAAGGAAATCTTATCGAGAAGACAAATGCATCGTCAGTTAATAATCTGATTTAATCAATTATAATGACAAATATTGGAAAAATAAAACTGTCTGTCAAAATGGTTCAACTGTGTGATCAGTATCCGAGAAAGTCAAGGTTTAAAAGTACACTGTTTTTACAAAACTACAAAAGGCAGATTGCTCATCTTTCAAAGAAATAAAAATGTAAACAAACATGATTTTTTTTCTAATTTTTAATGCATAAATTACTTTTCTCTTAAAAATATCGTTCAATATTACTGTTTAAAATAGTTCTTAGAGTTATTTTGTTTTAGTTTAATCAGAAACTTTGCAAACAATGATAATATTTGCATAAATTTGTAAAAATTTGATATTTTGGATCGTGAAAGATCGGGTACCGCATTTTAATGATCGTGAAAAGGATCGTGAAGGATCTGTTGCCGCTTATTCGTTATTGCAAAAATCCAAGAAAACAATCAAATTTTTCTTTAAACACATGATAATTTATATTTGTAATTAGTATAACAAAAGATGAGATTTGCATGACTTATTCCGCTTCACTTTTGTTTGTGAATAGGGCTATGATGGTTTAATGCCATTGGATCAGATTATTTGATAATACCACACCGACTAGTTTTCTTATAACAATATAAGTCCGTCTGTCCGTCCTGCATAAGTTTTATGTCGCTTGAAAAATAAAGATGGTCTCATCTGATTTCCATTAATTTTTATGCACAGTCATATCAATAAATTGAAGATCCTTGTTGATTTTTGGTAAAAATAGAAAAATATTGGGTTAAATCTGGCTTTCATGCTAGCTAATACGCCCACTTGTATGACAGTTATTTAATGTTCTGTTAAATTGGCAAATTAGGTAAGCAACCCAAACAGACATAATTAGTTAAGGTGGCCATCACTGGGATCCAGCTGCCAAAAACTGTGTAAACATACATCACAGACATACAACACAACTGAATTAAACGTTCAAACACATTTACAATCAAATCTAACAAAGACGTCAACAAGAAACTTTTTGTAGTCAGTATAGTAAAGCATAGTTACGGAGCCCCTAAAGTGTCATTTACATATAAATATTTTCGTTTGCCTGAAATTTAATCTGGTGCGCACCAGTTTCAAAAATTGTGGGCACGACTTGCAAACTGGTGCGCATGACTTTTAAACTGGCTCGCACTACTTTCAAAATGGTGCGTACGACTCAAAAATGGTGCGCACGATTTTCAAAAATGGTGTACACGACTTTCATAAATGGTGCGCACGACTTGTAATTAAGATTGACATCTGCAATCAAAAGATTGGCGGGGCTTCAGCTTGTATACATTATACTTAAATGTTATTGGATGTAAAGTATAATGCAGAGTATAATGTATACAAGCTGAAGCCCCGCCGATCTATTGATTGCAGATGTCAATCTTAATTACAATGCTTGAGCAAACATTTATACAAACAAAGCAAGCAAGCCAATCAAACCTTTAAACTACAAGCATTAGGAAAAAAAATAGCTCTAAATATACGCTGCAATTCTATCTTACGACTTCTTTGGACTTCTATGATAAATACTGTGTCTGGTCTTTTCTGTTTACTTATTTATGGAGTAACTGTACATCGCATAAATTCATGTGAAACGTTTTATACCAACTGTCCCTAGTATAGATAAATACATCTTCTTTCTTTAAATTCTTTAAAGAAGCTTGTATTCTTATGGAACCTACCGTATTTTACAGTTCGTGACAAATTCATGTAGACAAAAGCGTTGAAAATAATATATGATGGGAGGGGAGTAGTAAGTGGCTATGACTTTATAAAAATAAGAAGATGTGGTATGATTGCCAATGAGACAACTCTCCACAAGAGACCAAAAATGTTTAACGTAGAAATTAACAACTATAGGTCATCGTACGGCCTTAAACAATGAGCAAAATCTAAACCGCCTAGTAAGCTAAATAAGGCCTCCAAATGACAAATGTCAAACAATTCAAACGAGAAAACTGACGGCCTGATGTATGTACAAAACAATAAACGACAACCACTGAATTAGAATTACAGGCTACTGACTTGGGACAGACACATGTGCAGAATACGGTGGGGTTAAACATGTTTGCTTATCCCCCCCCCCCCCCCCCCCCCCCCCCCCCGTCCTTACATGGGACAATGATGTAACAGTACAACCTAAGAACAACCTACACATAACCAGTTAAAAAGGACTTAACTCATCGGATTAAAAAGTCAGATATTAAAACAAATGAAAAACTATATCCTATATCGTATAAAAGATAGACAGAAAGCATTATATTCAAACAAACTACTCGAAAAAGAGCTAATCTTGTATTCAAATACAATACTGGTAGCCCTTTAAAACTGTAAGACTATATGACTTATTGTATGGAATATGTATAATTTTTTTTATCATTCTTGGCTATTCCTATGTTACACATACAGTCATGTTATATTGAATACATGGTGAGGTTGTATTGATTATAAGAATGTTTGCGTATACAAAATATTCATTAGAAAATGTGAT